GTATTAAAACCATATATGAAAACACATTTCAAAAGCATATTCAAACATTTAAAAATCTCTGCATTTAATGAACAAAGCATTCCTGAGGCACCCTCTTATTGCTTAAAAGCCTGCCTGAAAGAACATTATGAGGCATTTGAAGATTTTATATATAGCCTGTCTGAAATAACATTATTGGGCATTTGAAGTTTTTATATATATACAACGGGGTTCCCTTGAAATATATATAAACTTCCACAAGCACAGAGTCAGATGAAAAAGATTAAATCTTTCCCAGAAAATAGCAATACAGCAGCCAATGAAAAGGAAGGTAGGAAATACAGCAATCATATGGCCTACTTGAGCCTTCAGGGGGTCATGATTAATTTGAAACCCCATGTTTATAAATGATTGTTTAAAAGGTTTTTCCTTCAGTTTTTCATTGCTTTGCCACGTGTTTTTCATTTTTTTTTACTGCTTTGGGTGATCATTGTGGCTATCTCTCTGTATATAAGTGTCAAATAATGAAACCCCAATTTCTTTAGAGGTCAGTGTTATACAAAGGCTATATAACACAGGTGGTAGTTTTCTAATATTTGAATCCTAGATGTTCATCAAATATCCATCAAGGATTCCCTTCCCCCTGCAATTTTTTTTAAAGCAGCCATCCAGCCGTGAAGCTAGTGTACCAATAAGCTGGATTCTGGGACTAAAGTGGGTTAGGGAAGATGGGCTCAGTTTCTAGCTTCTCCAGGCGGCACAAAGATACCCTTTGTACATCACCCTTCTTATAGGAGCTGGCCTTGTTTCCAAATTGGGAATAAATTGTGTTTTGTTTTAAGTTTTGCTTTCCGTATAAACCAATAGCAAACTGAGGTTTATGGTCCTGACGTTAGATAAACCATAAAATTTTATTGCAGTTCCTAGTTTCAACATAACAATAAAATGTGGTCTGTTGGAAACAGAAATAAATACTTCCAATCTTCTTGTGGGTGTGACAGAGGAGGAAATGGCAGGGGGCGGGGCAGAATAGGCTTATCTAAACCATTGTTTAGTGTTGTGTTTGTAGAGAGAGGAAGCTAACAAAGACATTGCTGATGGATATTATTTGTGACACATAAGCCATTTCCTCTCTTTTTTCAGGCTGTATTAGAGGTCTATAGACCTACTGAAAGAAAATGATACAGAAAGATAAAAACTATTTTTAGGCCAAATACTTACACACAAGGAACAAACAAAGAATGGAGAAACTTCCTAACATTTGAAAGGACTAGGGGAATAAGCAGTTTGCAGAAAAAGTGGTCATGTTCAGGACAGGAAACTGTTTGGTTAGCATGAAAGAATACATACTAGTCCTCTTTTCTGGACAAGCATATGGACAAGTACAGACCAAATCATGAGGGGAGTAATACAGGAGCACATAATCTTAAGGCACGTTCTTAGTGAAGGAGCATCAGCCAGCAAACTGGTAGTCATGGTTGCACCAGTAGCAACTTGTGGTAATAGTTTAGATCAGGGGTCTCCAAAGTACGGGCCACAGGCCACATCCGGCCCACCAGTGCGTGCTCCTTTGGCACTCAAAAATATATTATATGGCCCTCACTATGAAAAGTTTGGACACCCCTGGATTAGATGAAAGAAATGTTTTAGAATCTGGTGCACTCTGGCTGATACAGGATGCCTCCTAGCATCCGAGAATGAAGTCAGAGTGGGCAACTCGTGTCCTTCAAGGTGTTGTTGGCCATAACTCATAGTACCCTTCACCATTGGCTAGTGTTGGCTACGGCTAATCAGAGTGGCAGTCCAATGACATCTGGAAAGCCTCAAGTTGCCCATCCATGAATTAAGCCTTATCTCAGCCTTCAAGGCAAGCAACGTTGAAAAGCTAGATTGGGTCCATCAAAGACAGACTATGAAGTTAAAGTGCTTCACATTCCTACTCAGTCTGAACCTACCTATGCTTTTAGGAGAGGCAGGACACATCTGAACATTTACAGAGTTTTGACACCATGGGCAATATGTGTAAAAAAACACACCCTAAAAAGTAGATGTTGACATATGGGTGACAACCTGTGTGACAATTAAGCAATCAGATCAGTATTTAGCCCACAGACCCTTGGCTCTGAGCTGATAGGGTCCACAAAGCATCTATTGTTTGTGGAAACATTTTAGTTTATAGTACAGTATTTTAATACATCCAATTTTAGTCTTTTGTATTATATTAAAGAGCATAAAAGCTATATGCTGTTCACATCTCACCTCATTATTATTTTTTAAATGTTACTACTGGTGGATGGTTCAGTGGTTTATGTAAGAGACAGAAGTTGGGAGTTCAGTTCCTCACTGTGTCTACTTGAAAGGAGCTGGACCTGATGATCCATAGGGTCGTTTCCAGCTCTGCAGTTCTAAGACTATTATTATCTTTTGCTGAACAGTCAGTTGTACAATAGCCATTTGCAAAACACCCTATTTTAAACACATTAAAGCAAAAAGGAAAAGGTGAAAAAAGAGTGGTATTTAGAGCTGGAAGAAAATACAGTGGTGCCTCGCAAGACGCTTGCCTCGCAGGACGATTAATCTGCATGACGATGGTTTTTTGCGATCGCTGTTGCGCTTCGCAAAACAGTTTTTCCTATGGGTGATTTTCACTACATGATGTTTGGGTCTGTGCTTCGCAAGATGTTTTTTTTTTTTTAACCAATGCTTTCCCCCCATTGGAACACATTAAATAGATTTCAGTGCATTCCAATGGGGACCCGCGTTTCCCAAGACAATGTTTTCTGTGGACGATTTTCACAAGATGATGTTTTCTTCCCCCATTAGAACACATTAAATTGATTTTAATGCATTCCAAGGGGAACCGTGTTTCGCAAGATGATGTTTTTGCAAGACAGCGATTTTCGCAGAATGAATTAACATAGTCTTGTGAGGCACTACTGTATATGTATTCTGTGTGTCTCTGTGACTCAAATGGGATACATTCTCTGTGCCTGTTCACTGTGGAGCATTTCAAACACTTGCTTTCTCCCTCCTTCTTTTGTGGGTGTGTAAGCAGTTATTGACAATATGCGTTAAAAAAGAGGACTTCTTCAGCCATTTCAAGAAATATTTTTCTTCATTTGTGCACTCTGCTTCCTGCCAGTGAAGCTGAACTTCCTGAAAAAGCTTTCAAGACTATGAAATCAATCATGTTTTCTATACTGAGCCTAATGAGTTTAGCTCTCCTTTATCCTAGCAACGAGGTTCGTTTCAGCCTTGGATGAGAAGAACGTGGTTATTGTACCAAAAGGGGAAGGAATTGTTCAGGCAAGGCACTGAAGGGCAACTTTTTGCATTCCATTCTTTTGTGAGTCTAAATTATGAAAACGTCTTTTCTGTATGCTTTTGCACTATAGCCAGTTTGATGAGCTGAGGAGACCTTTAGCAATGACCTTTTTAGGTGTGTAATACACATCAGGTAGTGCATGATGGCCTTGCAGTGCAGTCCACCATTGTTATCCTATCTCTTCTTTCAAGCATTTGTTCAAGAGAACCTAGTTGGAGAAATGCTGTTTTGGTGGTGGCTGGGGTGGGACTCATTAATTGCTTTCCAAATCTTATGGAGAAAGTGGGGAAAACATGTGGGTGACTGGAATAACTTTGCCTCCCAAAGTATTAATCCCTCCCCAGCATTAATGGATACAGTCAGTTTCATACCTCACTGTGCAACTGTTTTGCTTCAAACCCAAACACTGCACCCAATGTTGTCTTGTATTCATAGCTGAGATCTCAACATTGTTAAAACTATGTTTAAAATGCAGTACCAAGCATGATAATTTATTGCTGTTGCCAACACTTCAACCTGGCTTATTACTTTGTATTGATAAATGGCTTGGATTTCTAGCCAAAACTACTTCACAGTGATGGTCAGACAGGTTCAGCTGCTTCCTTAGAACCCTTCCCAGTTACAGATCAGCAGAGGCCATGTGCTGCAAAAACTATTCGGATCTGTTGCATTTCCAAATGCTTTAAAAATTAAAACAAAGGGGGGGGGGAGAAAAAACTGCATAAAAGTAGAGTAAATTTGCAAATGTAATATCAGTTTTCAAAATATTCAAATTATACCACACAGATTTGCTGAGTTAGGATATGCCAACAATAATAATTAATTGCCAACTGTTGGCAGTGGGTCATTTTATATTAGCTGCCTGTTTGGATTTTAAAATATGTATTAATTTCAGCCTTGTTTTCATAAATGCAACTGTCTAAATACCACTGCATACACTACATCTAAATCTGTAATATTTTAAATACAGATGCTCCAAAGTAAGCCCCATGGAAATTAATGGAAAATATATTTGTGTTAGGGCTAACTTGTAGGTCAGTCAGTCACTAGAGTACAAGGAGAAGCATTGTCCCATTTGTTTCCTATAGTAACAAGAGTTGTTGTTGTTTAGTTGTTTAGTCGTATCCGACTGTTCGTTACCCCATGGACCAGAGCACACCAGGCCATGGACAAGAGTACTTTACCTAATTGTTGCATTCTAAAATAATTATCTATGATCCATCTTTTTTAAATCAGCTGTTCCTTTGAATATCAATATGGGTTTTTTTTGTACAAAATATTTTTTTTTAGTATTTATTTAAGAACAGAGTAGGGTGTACAAAAAGTAAGGGGGAAAAGGGAAAAAGGATTAGGGGGATAGGAGAACACAGAGTATACAATTATCCGATCAATTCATATTACAATAACAAATCAACTTTTTACTTTTTCACAGTGTGATTACCCTCCTGCTTTCACCTTATTTAATTTTAGTTTTCGCGAAGGCTTTCACGGCCGGGAGTGCTGTCCTCTGAAGATGCCGGCCACAGAGACTGGCGAAACGTTAGGAAGAACAACCTTCAGAACACGGCCAAAGAGCCCAAAAAACCCACAACAACCATAATTTTAGTTTTATTTTAGTACAACATGTTATTAACATGTTATGTCTTATGAAGTCCTTACTTTTGCAACACTGACTCTTTCGAATGCTCCTTTCTAGGCATCTAAAGCACCACAAGCAGAGAAAATTGGCTTACGGAGTTTTGATGAAAAGGTCTACCTCTCCTCAAAGTTGCTAAAGGCTGGAGAAGATCCCTATCGGCAACATGCTTTCAATCAGTTGGAGAGTGACAAACTCAGCAGTGACCGGCCTATTCGGGACACCAGGCATTACAGGTACCCTGTCAGATGATCACTAAGCTTTAAAAATACACTTTTATGAATGGTAGTTCCTAGAATTGCTCAGATAGCATGGTGACTTGAGGTTATCATCCCAAAATGTAATGATTCCAAGCTTAGGTCTACCACAATCTATAATCATCATCTTGTCCTAGAATATCTTTGCCAATACATGAGCCCTCTTTATTCTGAAGAGAGAACAGTGATTGTTAGAAGTAAATCTCATAATGCCTTTTTATCTCTAATGCAAGTGCTTTTGGTGGGGAGGGAGTGGCATAGGGTTAATGCAGGATACAGCACAAGAAACAAGCTTTTAAATTTTTATAGCAAGTCTCTAGAAATACGATTCTTTAATTGCGTTGAAACAGGTGGTCACATAATTTCTTATAACAAAAAGCCCTGGGGTGCCTTAAAGATTAACACATTTGTTACAGCGCAAGCTTTGAAGAAATGCATTCCCCTTCTTCAAGTTCATAAAGTATTATTCTGAGTTGAAAATGCCTGTGTATGTTCTGTTCTGTAAATCCAATTATTTGCTCTCCCGCTTCATTTCAAGATCCAAAGCCAAATTCTCCAACAACGTTCAGTTCTGCTTCATTTCCTGTTTTTAGATCGCAATCACCTATGATTATGAGCACATCCCCTTTTGGTGTGTCAGCAATTTCTCCCCGGACACTTCCATAAATGCTGTTGGTTTCTTTTACTTTAACATCTGCAGCTGAAGTCTAGTCTTGTGTGATGGCAATTTTGAGAAGGCTTTCTGTGACGTCTGATATTATTTGATTAACCTTTGCAATATAGCCCCTTATGCTACATCGTCATCTTCAGAGTTTGTCATTTCCAGAGTGCACTTCATAGTACGCTGATTAGAAATCCTATTTCAATCCACTTTAGTCAACTCATACCAAACATTTACAATACTACATTTCATTTTAGTTATCTGAAATCAGTTTCTGTGTTCCAATTATATGTGTTGCTAAGCTTTGAATCTTCCTCTCATGTCTCAACATCCTTTTTGGTTCTAATCCAGTTGCCTTATTAAGAATTGTGCTAATATCACTCCTTTACTTTTTCTCCAGTAGCTGACGGAGCGTATTCTAACTTATGAATGTGATTTATTTATTTTTTTTGCACTCTCGCTTCATTTTAGATTGTCTCATCACAGGGTTTTTGTGGTATGAGGTACATATGTGAGTGTAGTTTTCCATTGTCTTCTGTGCAATACTAACAAGAGTTATCTGAAGTATCATTGCTATTGTCTGTAAACAATCCTCCACCTGTGTTGCCTTCTTCTATTGCTGCTGACCAATAGCCATGCTTTAACAACATATCAACTCTCAGTAATATTGGAATTATTATTTCTCTTCTGCTGACACAGTTCTTATTTCTGGAAGAGAACAGATACATCTTAGTTTGGTGTTTCAGTTTTGTCCACTCCATTTTGCGTAACCCTGCTAGAAGTCTAAATGTTTAGCAGAGTCCAGTCTCCTGACAACGTTGCTCTACCTTTCCTGGCACAGTCACCTTCCCCATGACTACTTTAAAGTATACATCAAAGATGGGGGAGTTAAAAATGCACATACAGTGGTGCCTCGCAAGACGGGCGCTCCGTTTAACGACAAATCCGCATTATGACGAGATTTTTGCGATCGCAAAGCGACGTTTTGAATGGTGGAATTTCGCTGCGTGATGGTCGGTTCCCTGTTTCGGGAACCAATTTTCGCTTCCTGATGATCAAAACAGCTGATCGTCGGGTTTTCAAAATGGCCGCCGGGTGCTCAGAATGGCTCCCCGCTGTGTTTAGGAGCTATTTTTCGCTACACAGGCACCCTAAAATTGCCGCCCCTATGGAGGATCTTCACTGGACGGTGAGTTCTTAGCTGATTGGAATGCATTAACCAGGTTTTAATGCGTTTCAATGGCTTTTTTATTTTTGCTTTACGACATTTTCGTTCTTCAGCGATTTCGCTGGAACGAATTAACGTCGAATATTGTGCTTCTGTATCCATGACATTTCACCAAAAACCCTCAATTTTATGAATGTGGAATATTGTGCTTCTGTATCCATGATTCAGAATGCCAGGAAACTGCATAATATTGTGCCTGCATTGCTAGCAGGAAAAAGGATGCCAAGCTTTCTATAGCAAAGGGCAGCGTGAATGTTGACAATACCGGTGGTAGCAGTCAAGATGATCTACTGCAGCAGTCCCCAACCTTTTTAGCCCCGCGGACTGGCTGGGGAAGATGGGGCACCCCCTGTGCTTGTACGCATTCATGAAGGAGTGAAGGAATATAAAAATATTTATATTTTAAAATATTCAAAATATACATTTTAAAAAATATTTTTACAACAAGACACAGAATCTTTTTTCCCGGCACAAATGCCTATTTGGCCAGGAAAGAGTTAAAAAATTTATCCTATTTATGATCAGTAATTGCGTCCTGATTGACAAGGTCAAAAGTTCAGATCTCCCTTTTGGGCTTATGAGCGAAGCTGGTAATTATATGAAATTCACACTGTTTCACCCTTTTGAAAGGTCTTTTTTGAGCATCAGTATTTCATCTCCTCCAGCCTTGATCTTTCTAAATAGAAAATAGTGGCTGGGACCAACTGTTTTGTTGCAAGATAAACAAGATTGGTGTTTACATTTTATTTGATCCGTTTTAGATAATAATATGCCGACAGAAAAGATTGCCAGTGTCTGCAAAGGCATATCACATTTATTATTTAAAAAATCATAATTTTACAATTATTGGTCCAAACATCACCAGATTTGGTACAGTGCAACAGCATCTTGTCTACCCCTTTGTGCCAAATTTGGTAATGATCTGAAGCCTGGTTTCAAAGTTACAGTGTTTTGTTTGGGCTGCCCCATTTTTAAGGTAAAGGTTCCCCTGGACAATTTTTGTCCAGTTGTTTTTGACTCTAGGGGGCGGTGCTCATCCCCGTTTCCAAGTCATAGAGCCAGCGTTTGTCCAAAGACAATCTTCTGTGGTCACCTGGCCAGTGAGACTTAGACACGGAACACTGTTACCTTCCCACCAAGGTGGTCCCTATTTATGTACTCACATTTGCATGCTTTCGAACTGCTAGGTTGGCGGGAGATGGGACAAGCGATGGGCGCTCACTCCGTCACATGGATTCCATCTTACAGCTGAAGATCTACAGACCTTACAGCACAGAGGCTTTTGTGGTTTAACCCACAGTGCCATCACGTCCCTCTCATTTTTAGAATTGCCTTATAGAATGTTGACGTGCTGTGACAGCGCAGTATCATTACTGCACTCTCACGTAATAAATATGGTACAGGGATGTGAACAGAGAAGTCAGTGACATGTTCAAAATACACACAGTGACAATTAGTTTGGTAACAAATGGTCTCATGCAAAACAGTTATTTGATGATAAATCAATATTAGTGTAATAAGACACTTGATAGGACATTTTGTCACTGAGCATAAAGTGTTTTTTCTTGAAAAAGGAATTTGAAATGCAGTTTTCAATGTAAAGTAAATGAATTATAGTTACCCAGAAGATCATCTTTGTCTTCTGTGGTTTGAACAGGGATAAATGCCAAGCAATGCTAATAACTTTGATTATTAGGTTACTAAAATGTTACACATACAGTGAATTATGAATTTTTATAGAAGTCCTCATTAGGCAAGGATAATACCAAATTTCAAGCACTAATTAATTAATCAGAGCAATGCAATGATCACTGTTTGTACTTTTCTGCATTTTAAGTCCCTTGGCTTCACAAATTATGATACCCTTCCTCTGCAAGGTATATATATTTATAGCTTAAGGTACTTCACATAGATAAAATGTAGTGTAGTCCCCTAATGCCATAATAAATCTGTTGGTCTTTTAAGTGCTAAAGTATTTATCTTGCAACCTTTCCACAGATATCATTTAGTTCCTGCAGTTACATAATGATTGCATTCCTGTTGCATAGTAATACAAAAACTGTAATATTTAATGGAGAATTTCAGAAAAAAATATGAAATCTCCATAAGCTTGTGACAGATAATGTCTATGAATTTCTTAACTTATGGCAATTCACCACTAAAAGTCACACCTTTTCAGCAAATGTTTAGTTACTACAGATGGGTATTGTGTTCAAAATGCACCTTTTCACTTCTTGGTTATAATTTCTGACATACTATTCATTTCCTGAGTTCTTCCTCTTGGTTCCTGTGCCGCTTCGGAGGCTGTTGGGCGAGTCGGAGGACCGGGGGAGAGGCAGCTGTAAGACGGAGCTTGGTGCCCCGGGAGCCTCCTTTCGTGCCACGGGGGCTGGAAGAGCCTGAGTTTGTGGGGACCTGTGAGTCTTATGGGAACCTGTGAGACTTCGTGGCCTGGCGCTGGGATATCGGAGACATGGCCCAGTGCAGAGAGGTGCAAAAGAACTCGCTGGTTCGAATGGTGGAGCCCCAGAGAGATCGCGGACGCTGTTTGTAGAAGTGTGGTGAGCCTGAAGTTGGGGAACCGAGGAGGGTTGAGAGCCTGGCTGAGGACTTAGAGCAGCTTGGTACTGATTTGTTGTGGGACTCTCTTGGGGGTTTTCTGACCTGGGAGACCACGCCGACATCCATGGCCAGGGGAGTACCTTCTTCAGCAGCAGACCCTGGCATGCTTAAGGGGGAACTTTCATTTGTCTCCCTGTAGCCATGTTTCCAGCAGTTCTCCTTCAGCTCCTCCTCCTTTTGATGTTACATCATACTTTGCCTTTGCCTTTGCCTGTTTTGACTGCTTGGCTTGGCGTCTCTGCCCCCATAAACTCAAATTTATCCCTGAGAGCCTCTCTGAGGGAAAATAAGATCTGCGGCCAGTGTGCTGTGTGACAGGACCAATTGTGTGTGGGGAGAATCTTGGGTTTATTTTTTTGTTTGTTTTTAATTTTTTGTTATATTTCATTTAGTTTATATTTGTTTGTTCCATTCTGTTATTCTTATTTCATTTTTGAAACAAATGTTTTATTTATTTTATTTAAATTG